ATATTGACTTTGTCATGTATAGTTTTGTGTAGTGTTGTCAGTCGCATGACTCTCCTTCTGTCTTCAAGTGATTGCCAGTTAAGGCATTGAAGCATGTCACCAACACTGGAGGTGTTTCTAAATTTGTTGGTGACTACTCTGGCTGCTCTACGCTGCACCATTTCTATTTTGCTTATGTCTGTTTTAGTATTAGGGTCCCAAACTGAGCAGGCATATTCTAGGGATGGTCTGACAAGTGTTTTATATGCCCGCTCCTTGACAGATGGAAAGTTTATCTTTAGATTTCGTCTGAGAAAGCCTAAGGTGGAGTTGGCTTTCCCACAGATGTTATTTATATGACATTCCCACTTGAGATTTGACTGTATAGTGACACCTAAATATTTTGCATTGTCTACGTGTTTTAGTTCCTTTCCATGCAGAATGTATTTGTGATGTTGTGGGTGTTTGTTGTTGGTGATGGAAAGGACGTTACATTTGTCAGGATGGAAGGACATTTCCCATGCTATCTCCCATAGAGCTAGTTTGTCTAAATCTTGTTGTAATAGCTGGGCATCAGATGGTGATTTGATAGTAAGATAGACAATGGTGTCATCTGCATATAGACGTACATTGGAATGGAGGCCAACAGGAATGTCGTTTATATAGAATAGAAAGAGGGATGGACCAATAACCAAGCCTTGAGGGACACCTGACTTGACATCGACAATGCTAGATTTTCCCCTTCAACGATGACAGCCTGCTTCCTATTATCCAGGAAGTTTTCTATCCAGGTGTTAACCTTCTCATTTACACCATAATGACGAAGCTTATGACAAAGAAGCGAATGACTAACCTTGTCAAAACCTTTGGAAAAATCCATAATCAAGACGTCGGTTTGTTTTCCCTTGTCAATGTTGGAGCTGACATCATCAACAAATTCAATGAGCTGACTCTCACATGATACTGACCTTCGAAAACCATGTTGGAGTGGTAAAGGATGTTATGTTTGTCAGCGTGGTTCATGATGTTACTGACCACTATCTGTTCTAGAAGTTTGCTACAAATACATGTGAGAGAGATTGGCCTGTAATTTTCTGGATTTAATTTAGAGCCCTTTTTATAGACAGGAGAGACATGCGCTAACCTCCAATCAGAGGGAACTGTGCCAGAATGAAGAGATTCATTAAAGATGATAGAGAGGACAGGGGCAATTTCAGATGAGAGTTCTTTCAAGATCTTGGGCTTCAACTCGTCAGGTCCAGCTGCTTTACTAGGGTTTAAATTTTGCAGTAATTTTTGTACGCCATTTGGAGTGATATCAAATTCTGGCATAATAGGGTACTGGGTGGAAGATGGGATGTTACATTTTTTAAGGAATTCATCATTGGATAATTTACCACCTGGGCTAAAAACAGACTGGAATTGAGTGTTAAGGGTCTCAGCCTTACCTACAGGATCAGTTACAAGTTTACCATGTGATTTTAGAGATGATATACCATTATAGTCGGTCTTCTTTTGCTAAAATATGTATGACCAGAATCTTTTGGAGGCACTAAAATTATTGTCATTTTCTTGTAGGGTAAGAATGCCTTCAACATATTGCGAGTAGGACCTTCTGAGTTTCTTTTGAATGTCTTGCCTTAGAGCC